TCACTGCTCCGATTTACTTGCTGCATTTAAGGCTAGGGGCTCGTGAGATATAACTCGTTAGTTCGTGGGAACATTACAATTTACAACACACCGATCAAATTCACGGACTTATTGTCTTGTTGCGCCTTGATTGGAAATCTAGAGCCAGCTCAGGCAGTCAGATAGTGGCCAGTGATAATTAAGGGAGAAGTACCAACAAAGAAAAGGGGACTGGGATGGCCACTTATGACTAATTAGTCGTCGATGGCCAATCACAACCGACCTCAGCTTGGAACTACTCGAGATTCGAACGCCCCTCTCTCACCTTAGTGAGTATTGCCAATCCTGGTGGACAGCACAACGAGTCTGTGGCTCGGTGTCCATAATAATCCAATAGTTCACTAAGGCAACAAAAGAACGACTTGGATCGAAACGTCCCGTCTACGTGTCCGACACACGAACAGGTTCTCATGCAGTGCACCAATTTTTCTCAAAAGTACGAGCTGGCTCGGACCTCAGCTTCGTGTCATAGAGGCCACATCCCGGAGCCATTGGGCCTGAGTCTCATTCCTCGAGCCAGTCACCCCAAACGCAGTCATCGTACTGGACGATTTATCCCTTCGGTAGGCAGCGCTTGAAGCCACGACGTATAGCGCATCGTGCTAATTCCAAAGCGCACCATATTTACCATAGTGAGGAATGTACCGGTGGACCGTGGGGATGGAATAGCCAGAAACGACCTAACCCTTATTTCTCTCTCCCATGCACCAGTCCATTGTCCAAGTCAGTCAGTCACCTGGCGCTGGGGACTGATATCCACGTCATTTAGACCATTGACGGCGTCCACCATGTCCCCTTCAGCGTGGGAGGGGGCTCAGGGCGGTGGATTTAGCATGCACTTGTTTGTAGAGGTATCGGACTTGCGCAGCGTCTACCGCACCTTCTCCTTCACTCCCCTTGCTCCGATGGCAAGGCGGCGTCAATACGAGCAGTGGCGGGCGCGGACGAAGCGATTGGCAAAGCTTCACGGCTCGTCTACGCGTGCCTCACACACGACCTGTTTCCTCACTGTAAGGAAGTCGGCTGCACGTACCAGGGTATAATGAAGTCGAAATGAACCCCGCACTGGTAGAAATGCCGCAATGACCATATCAGAAAGAAGCCATTGCGGCCCTATTCTCAGTTTTGGGACGATCCCGTCAGTTGGCAGCCCTTCAGGCCATTAAATTTATCGCGTGGTGATTTTATATGATGAGAAATGAGCTGATGTGGCGCGGGAACGGTGTCCCCATAGCAAATCTCCCACGCACCAGTTCACTTTCCGAGCCCGTCTGTCGGTTAATTCGGACACTGGGTGCAAGTGATTGGCGCGGTGTTAGCCCGCGCCTAGGCGTCCTGTCACACTGATCTCTTTTGTTACCTTTTCTTGGTATGAACAGGCTGTGCGCGGCTCGGTTAACACCTGCCGTGGCCTAGCTCATCTGCCAGCTGATTCCAGACAGCATCCGACTTTTAAAAGAAGATGATGCACTAAGAAAAGAAGAAGAGTCGAACACCGGAACACTCTGTTTATTGTGCTGAGCCTTCAGACTCGTGCAGGAGTCCATCGTCAGAGAGAGTAGCAGCAACAGAACAAGCGACAGTTATAGGACATGTAGGCTAATCATCGATCGACGGCGCAAGACTGGAGGTGACTACGCAGGGCTCTGTACGGATGGATAAATCGATTGACCGAGTTCTCATCCGAAGCCCAGGCTTCAATCAATTCTCGGCCTGTTTTGTTTCCGGCGTGGGCGACTATTTTGGTGGCTGCGAAGTGAAACTCGTGACCCATTTCGTAGGTGTGGGCGGTCACTTGTGATAATGCGTCGTCTCGTCGCACAGCCAGCTTATGTTCGTGTATGTGCGATCCGAGCACGCGCCCACTCTGCCCTGTGTAGTTACAAGGACAATTGTGACATGGAATGAGATTCGCTACTCCAGATTTCTCTTCAGGCTTTAATCGGTCTTTAGTTCTCATGACCCTATTGCGCATGGTGGCTTTGGGGCGGTGTGCACTGCACATCTACCAGTTGACCAGCAGAAAGAATTTTTTCGGTTCTTTTCCCACCACATTAAGAGAATTCAACAACTCGAAAGCGAATTGGACCTGACCGCGTTTGTTTGTTTGTTGGCCGTCACCATAGCAACCGCTGGCCAAAAGGCCGAGCAAAGAGGTGTGCAGCCTCCGAAAAATGCAAGTTAGCAGAGAGCAGAAGAGGGCGCTACAGGTCCTGATTGACGGCGTTGAAAAGTGGTATGCCGAATGGCGCAAACTGAGACCACACAATGTTGGCCCTCTGTACTACCTCACGGAATTAAACTTGGCGCGAACCGGACTGAGAGTTCTACCCAGCAGCGGAATCCTGGGTGCACTGCCCCGCTTGCAAGTTCTAAATCTACAGGACAACAGCATTAGCTCCCTAAACGGAGCTCTGTGGCGTTGTGAGCAGTTGGTCGAGCTGCGCCTTGACCGAAACCAGTTGCACTCGGTTAGGGGTGAATTCCCGAATATTCACTGTCTGAAGGTGTTGACTATGTCGGGCAACAATATCTATAGTCTTCCCGTAAGTTAATGCCTTCCAAACTAATATTTTTTGCTCAAATGTCACCCTCACCCCAGTATAAAACACCCCTTTCACTCACTGCTGGTCTAATTTCTTTTATGACCAGATGTGGTGCACTTCTTTAAGAAGGTCCTTACTAACATCTTAGTAAAGTTCAAGAGAACACCGTTAAATGATACTGCAAACCATCAGCGTTGAAACTAGCCACTAGTTGAAGCATCGATTTGCCAGCCCTGGTATAATAGGCGTGTTAATTCGTGAAATATCGTAACTAATCACAAGAAAAACCCTGTAATGCAAAATTCGCTCAGATTGCTTACCCTAAACTCTTGCAGCAAGGATAAAAAGCGGGCATAGTTGGGTATATAAATCAATATCTCCTTACGTAAACATAATCAATTTTCGTGTAAAATCAGAATTTTAGAGCATGGATATATTACAGGTAGCATATAAAGGGCAAACTATAAGGGTTCATAATGAAGGGGACACATGAAATTATGAAAATAATGAAAAAATAATAACAAGTACAAAGGATCGGTACGTTGTTGATTGTCCCCTTGCATTTAGCACATCAGGAAGACTCTCAGACATGAAAATGGCCAGGTTGTCCGTAATGGGTTGTTCAATGTGATTATCTAGCACAAAATCAAACTTTGCTTGCACTGAAGGTTTCTTTTTTTCCCCTTTCGCCAACTTCTTTCTATAAGTGCAAAATGATTTTCGATCGAGTTGGAATCCGGGCTGCTGGCAGGGATAAAGTTTGACTAGAGGCCACAGCCAGACAGGCTGGCTGTTGTCTAAAAAGTCCGATTACGGTTGAGAGCGTCATCAGATTCTTTTTTCTTTAGAACAATGGACAGAAGCAATGTCGTGTAAAATTATGGTATCAAATAGTCGTCGGTGGATGTCGTAGTAGTCAAAAACATCCTTCAAAATGTTGACGAACGCCTTGCTGTTGATGGTGTCCGTAGTCGACCGTCAGACTAGCCGCTCTCCAAATTGGAT